TAGAAAAAGTAGACAAGCGAAAATAAGAAAATAAACATTATATTCCCACCAGTCAGAAATTACCACTGTTAACACCTTGATGCATATCCTTTCAGGTCTTTTTCTATGCATTTCTATACATTTTTTAACCAAAATAAGATCATACTCTACATAGTATTTTGTGACCTATTTTTTCAGTCAACAATCGTCACTTTCCCATTGCAAAACATTTTTACCTCGTCTAATACCGAGACCATACTTAAATTTCCCCAATTTTCCCCAAATTTGTAGTCAGTTTGTCCTAACTGGTATTCATACTGTGACCATACTCTACAACTGGTTGCATCCCTTAAAGTCCCTTAAACAAACAAACAAAAAGCCCTGTTGCCGTAGAGTCAATTCCGACTCATAGTGACCCTATAGGACGGAGTAGAACTGCCCTATAGGGTTTCCAAGGAGCAGCTGGGGGATTCAAACTGCAGACCTTTTGGTTAGCAGCTGAGCTCTTAACCACTGTGCCACCAGGGCTCCTAAAAGTCCTAAAGTCGCTTAAATCTATTTTAATCTAACACAGTCCCTTTATTCAGACATTGACTTGTTAAAAAGACTGGGGCAGTTGTCCTGCAGAATCTTATCTTTGGAATTTGTCTAGTTGCTTTCTCATGGTGTTTAGCTTGTTACTTTATTCCCTGAGCTACCTGCAGTCTTGAAGTTATATCTAAAGTCTTCATGGATTTTAGTTAAACATTTTTGGCTAAAATATATCATAGGTGAGGATACAGGCTTCATATAGTATCACATCAGAAAGCACAGACTATGGTTGACGTACCATTAAGGATGCTAAAATAGACCCTTGGATTAGCATGATGACAGTCTGGTCCTCCATTATACAAGTTACCTTTTCCACTTTGTGACTAGCAAGTTATCTGTATGGTGTTCTTTGGTATTAAATGAATGCTCAGTCCCCCATTAGCCATTCATCTAGAGGTTTTAACATAAACTGATAATCCTTGCCTAAATCAGTAATTTTATTAAGGATTATGGTTTTTTTCCTCCAATTATCTCATTTCTTTTGCATTTATTTGTTGGTGTTTCTATGTAAAGTACAGTTTTCTCTCAACTTTAGCTACTTGAAATACAGTTCTTACTGGAAAGGCAAGATGAATATTTTATTATTTACATTTAAGTATCAACTCTCAAAGTAAGGGAGTTGGTTCAATAGTTGCCTGAAATGCTAGCATATTAGCTTTCTTTTAGATTTTTCTTTTTTGGTATAATTGTAAATTCATAAATTTTTATTTTAATGTGTTTCAATCCATTGTACTTATTCTTTTTGACGGTCAAATTGTCACAACTGTGGCCAGGAGCCCCTAGAAGTTTTGTTGTTGTTGCTAATAATGAAGTAACTGTTAAGGCCATGTGTTTAATAAAGCTAACCCCCAGATATAATTTAATATCCTCTTAGAAGTCCATAATAGTTATCAGTTATTCATCCAACTCCGTTTTAAGCCTTGTGATTGAATAAAATGCTTATAGTTGATACAGAGACATGGAATGTTCAAAATGAAGGTGGGGGAAAGATGTTTAAGCCAATTTGTCATCAAATTTCTTGTACTTCTAGTTATATCTAACTACCAGCTCACTGTAAGTAAAAGTGCAGGCAGTAGCCAACCCGTGTAAAGCTTCCTCTGCAAAGATTTTCTTCTAATAGTGAGTTTGTCTTTTTTATATGTTTTCCTGTTGACTTCCTGTTTTAGTTTTCGCAAAGAAGACACTGCCAGGAGAAAAGAGTTCAGATCCCAGGACAGAATTATGTAAGCATGAGCCTACTTGAAACCAAACCCCATGATATATATTTTTTAAACTCCTATCATGTTTCTCAATGACTTTGCTAATTTAATTCAAGGTAGACCCCTCTTTTCTAATGAGTACTTTATCTAGATCTAAAGTGAAATTAGAGTTGCATCCAGTTATTTCCTTTGCAATCATCACACGCAAGATCAGATACATCTGCATCCTGATACAGACTGCCTTCTGAAAAAGCATGTAGTTGTAGAACCTCAGCTTATCCTAGGAACTTTTGTAAAAGGGCCAGCATCATGTCAACCAGCCATTTAAGTAGAACTTAAGGATTTTAAACAATGGTATAAAATACTTCATTGCATATTCTTTAGCATCAATCTTAAACAGACGCCTTCTGCACAACAGATAGTCACGTCCTAGTTATTGACAGATTGATAGTGTACAGAAAAAGTATTCGTGTCTATAACTTACAAATTTCTATTTTTCTGTCCTTTAATTTTTAACCTGTTTTGAACAGAATTCTATCATGTACATAAAAAGCACTTAAGCCCTTACTGAAGGTGGGAAAATATATTTTTGTTTTACATCTGAGAACACGAGTACACTACAAGAAGTAATATTTTATCTGTACGTAAATATGTTGGAATGTTTTACTCAAAATTATTTCATACAGTGGAAAATGTTCTTTTTTTCTTATAATCAAGTTTTCACTCTGCCTCTCAAGAAATTGATATATAAATCCACTATGTAAGTCTGTCTCTTATTTCTGGGACTTAAAAGCTGCATGTGTATGCCTTTTCATGTTTTTCAGCCCTGATTCAGATTTGGATTCTTATTTCCCTTTCAAAACAGGCATAATCCACACTGAACAATATAGAGACTAGACTAGCCATATTTTATGGCAATATGGGAAAACTCTGTTTTCAGGAACGCCCCACAAAGAGAAGTCCCTTGTCTTTCTCACATCCTGCGCAGTATGACAGTAGCTAATATCTGCCTCCATGGAGAAATAGGATATATTTGAAAATAATTTTGAACCAGGGGCCAGGAAACTCCCAACTTGTCAGACATTAGCTCTGTATATTCATATGGCAGCTGATAGTGGGACCCCAACTACCAATTTCAACTGCAGTGGGACTCAGAGACACAGTGAAGGCCATGGATCCTCTTCAAGACCTAGGAGTAGCTCATTTTGTGGTTTTCAGGTAAAATCTAAAACATCTATTTCATTTGATCCTGTACCCTTATCTGTGCAACAAAGAAAAGGAGGTGCCTACCTCTGAGAGTGCTTTTTGAGAAAAGGAATCTGCCCTCTTGTGTGCATGGAGAGGGTACTAAACCTAGACAATCTGCCCTGGGGTGGGTGGGTGTGTTTTTACATGATGGGGAGTGGAGTAGGGGTGGGGGTGGGGTGATGCCTTTGGGTGGGGAAAGGCTTTATCTATTACGTCTGCCCGCTTAAAGGTAGTAAACCAATTTAAATTCTAAAATCAAAGAAAACTTCCTTGGTATGAGCCTGTAGGCTTTAGTGAGTGCAAAAAATGCTATTGGTTCTTTTGTTTAGTGTACCTTTTAGGAATACTTTTAGGATTCAGTATATTTAGATTCTTGATAATATGGTCTGAGAACTTTAATTCTCCAAATGTATAGCCAACCAAAAACACATGCAATAGTGTGAAACCTCTGAAATCCCAATAATGAAATGGTTGAAAGCTAGCACTGCACCAGGTAACCCACCTGTTGACTGACTTGGATTTAATCAAGTTTAACATCTCAAAAACCCATCTTGCCTCTCAGAAAGGCTCACTAACCTTTTCATTGTACTAGTATATAGCATTTCACCGTATGTACTAGATGAACCTGAGAAACTTCATGGAAATTGAATTTTTATAAATCCAGTCACATTTTTTAAATGTTAAAAAAAAAACTTTTTAAAGGAACCCTGCAGTGTATTTTTCTAAAGTCATGAACCCCATATACGTGTATGTCTGCACACATACTCAAACACATGTACATGCACACACACACGTATTTTAGGTGGGGGGCATTACCAGTGAATTTATATTGGATGTTCTTAAATAGAATACAAATAGTGTTGATGCTATTTGCATATACTTGGGCAGAAACACCCAAATTTTTCAAATAATTCATTATATATTTGATGTGTGGCCAGTTAAGAGATTTTCATCATGTAACTAACTGAAATGTCAGGATTATTCAGAGCCTATATCATCTTAGGCCCGAGCTAGCTCAACAAACCCAATTTAAGTTGTCTCAAATTGGTATATATGATGTATGTGGCTATATGGAAAAGTAGGAGAATTTTAAGGAGCATGTTCTAAATGCTTACATTTATTTAACCAAAACATCACAAAAATATACATCGTCAGTAATTTACTTGAGTATATTTTACTGTAAGCTTAACCTGGAAATGTTCACTCTATTTCATACCTCAGGAAAGAATAGGGTAGGGCTAGAAAAAAGAAAAATAAATTTTTTTCTGATAATTTTAAATATCAAAAATGTAAGTTAGATTTTATGAATGAAGGGCTTTAAAATTTTTCTGCCTGAAAACTTCTGTAAGTTTAAATATTTCAATGCAACACTTACAGCATTTTCTATGTTGTCAACTTTTTCATTTGTGAATTAAAAATTTATCCAGCTCTTGCTATTTTGGATTATTTATTTATGAATATTGAGCTGCAATAAAAATAGTCTTTATTGTGCTTGGGTTTCAGTATTTTTGGGGAGGATACTGTGGTAGAAGGCGGGGAGGGGTTTGGTGGTGACTGCACAGAAATAATTTTAAACAGATCCTTTGAGGATTCTAATACAACCTTTATTTTAGAAATACCTCACTGTAAACCAAAAGTCTAACAGGAGTTTTACCAAAATTTTAAACCAGTAATTTACAAAATGAAAACAAGCACTTCTCTGTATGAAACCAATTCCATAATTCCATGTACACATTTTTCCTTGTTTTATCTGCACCATTTCACTGTTCATTAAAATCACCAATTCCTTTTTAGTCTTTTATATTTATCCTCTCTTAAAATAATGTGAAATTACACAACCCATGAATATATTCTCTTTATAAGTAATAAAATTTACAAATAAGACAAATTCCCTTTGACTCTCCCTCTCCCACTGCCAAGTACATTCCTCTTCTTTCCCCTCCAGAAGTCACCATTATTACCAATTTGATGTGAGTCCTTTTAGTTTTGTTTTTTTTTTACCTTTTTTAAAACTAATTCTTGATTAATTTAAAAGTCCACTGCAAAGCAAGACATATTACATCACATTTCTTCCACTTTAAAAAAAGTTTGGCCAAAGCTTCATTATTCAACATGGTAGGGGAAAACTCACTGTAATACACGTGGTCATTTGCCTAGCCGGGTTATTCTGATGAGGGGTCGAAGAGAATGAAGATTATTCACGTAGGTGGTGGAGCTGACAAACTTGCACTTGAAGCCCAGCTCTGCCACTGAGTAAATTAGGAAAGTTTTTGTATTCATCAGATCAAGATCCATTAAATCGACCTCACTGGGCAGATGAGAGGATACAATAAGATAATGTACGTACAGCACCTAGCATATACCCAGAATATACATGGTCTAAGCTAGCACTTTATATGATGTGAAACCCTTAAATGGTAATGAATCAAAAAAGTCAACATACATTGTAATAAACTTTTCTTCCTAATGACTTTAGATATCACCTTCTACTGTAGTACAGAGAAAAGAGAGCTGAAAAAAGCATATGATTTTGAAACCATTTATTTTTATGTGAAATGGTTGTTAGCGAGTCTCTATAAGGTTAGGATTCCAATTAAAAGAAGTGTTTCGTTTGAAAGCCTTCAGGGCTCAGTTGTAGGTCATGTAGCGGGGAGTAGCACTGAATTTGGCATAGGACTTAATGACCTTATTTACAGCTTCCAAGAAATCCTTCTCAGTAGCAATTTTTCGCCGTGCTCTGATTGCAAACATACCAGCTTCTGTGCAGACGCTTCTAATTTCGGCACCTTTCAAACAAAAAGAAAATAAGTATGCTTAACTGAAACAGCCAGGACAGACAGACCAGCAAATATAAGCAAAACTTGCCACCTACCAGTGCTATTTGGACACAGTCGTGCTAACAATTCAAATCTGATATCTCTTTCAACACTCATTGAACGAGCATGAATCTTAAAGATGTGAGTACGACCCTAAAAATAAGAGAATCAACAGATACTAAATGAAAAAAATCACAGGAAAAAAAAATTTCAAGAATCTTCTTTCTAAATGAAATTGTTTTCTTACTTCTAGATCTGGTAAGCTAAATTCAATCTTTCTATCCAGCCTCCCTGGTCTCATTAGTGCTGGATCCAAAGTATCAGGTCTGTTAGTGGCCATCAGCACTTTGATATTGCCTCGAGGATCAAAACCATCCAGCTGATTGATCAGTTCTAACATCGTTCTCTGCACTTCATTGTCACCTCCAGCACCATCATCAAACCGAGCCCCTGAGAACACAAAAGGAAAGATAAGCTCTGCCTGTCCACTTACAGTAGCACTATGCATAACTTGAAAGTTCTGTAAATCTCAGCTCAAATCATGCCTCCCAGGACAGGTGCACATCTCACTGTTAAGCAGATCCTATTTAAGAAATGCATGCTTTACAAAAACAAAATGGAAAATGAATCTTTACTTTCAAAAAGGTTCATCATAGATTTATTTAACAAGGCTCCTTTAAGTGTTTTAAAAATCTGCTTTAAGGAATTTTGTTTTTCAAATCACTCAAGAACACCTCTTTTATTTAACACAATATACACCCCGCTTAGGCAACAGGACAATATGCAAACTTTAGCACTCTAATAGTGTTTGACTGTATGCAGGAAACCATTATTCTACATGAATATTACTATTCATACTATTCTAAATTTACTGAAACTGCCTTTTAAAATATGGCTATATCCAGAATACAGTAGAACCATAACAGCTTACTGTCGCACTGATTTGGACATACTAGAGAATGCTAGGTTCATGTCAGTCTCTTTCATTTCAACCAGAACAGCAAAAAAGAAAAACTATTTTAAGAACCTCCAAATATATATTTTTATCTTTAATTGTATAAATACATACTATCATATTAATACATACACTATTTTAAAAAATGAAAATTTTAAAAATGGGATTAAAATCAAACACAGAGAGAAATTCTAGTATTTTCCTCCCCCACCCTATTAGACCGTCTTATACACAATCCACTTTAGAAACCACTGCTTCAGAGTATCCTGACATCATAAGGCTTAGTGCAACAAAACTGTAAGCACGACAAAACTATAAAAATAACTTCAGAGTCACAACACTGAATCATTATACTCTGGTCAAATTACGGCCTTTGTAAACATTAACTGAAGAATGTTCAAACCCAACATGGCCCAGACAACCTAAAAGTAAGACTCTAGGTAATCTAACCATAGTCCCCAAACAGTGTTACAGGAGTCCCCTATATTTTCAAGTCATTTCTATCATTAAGTACTTTAAGTAACAAATGACTACCTTGACATGACACTTCTCAAGCTACTAAGGATTATTACTCTGGTATAGACTATAATAATAGCCAATGACCATAGGGCAGTTTAGAGTTTTCAAAGTCTATGACATTTATTACTTAATATGAACCTTTCAAAAATTCAGGAAATAAGCAAAGCACAAATTATCATACCCTTTTTAAGATGAGCAAACCAAGGCTCAGAAGTTAGTTAAAATAACTTGCCTAGATCATACAGCTAATACTGTATTTCAATAAGTCTACAAAGCCAACAATAACTGTCATGGATTGAATTGTGTCCCCCAAAAATGTCTGTCAACTTGGCTAGGTCATGATTCCCAGTATTGTATGACTGTCTACCATTTTGTCATCTGTGATTTCCCTATGTCTGATAAATCCTATCACTATGATGTAATAAGATGGATTAGCAGCAGTTATAATGATGAGATCTACAAGATTAAATAGTGTCTTAAGCCAATCTCTTTTGAGATATAAAAGAGAGAAGCAAGCAGAGAGACAGGGGGACCTCATACCATCAAGAAAGCAGTGCTGGGAGCACAGCGCGTCCTTTGGACCTTCCCCCAGAGCCGATATAGAGAGAAAGCCTTCCCCTGGAGCTGGTGCCCTGAATTCTGACTTCTAGCCTACCGGACTGTTAGAGAATAAACTTCTCTTTGTTAAAGCCATCCACCTGTGGTATTTCTGGTATAGCAGCACTAGATAACCAAGATAGTAACGTTACTTTATGTACACTAAGAAAACCATCACCTCATCTATATAAAGCCAAACAGTCAACACTTTAAAACAACCATGAAAATATAAGGGGGCAGGGAAACTAGATTAATGCAAATGGAACAACCAGAATAGAAATACTGAGAATGTTCACACACTGTGAGGAATGTTACCAATGCCACCGAACAATTTTTGTAGAAACTGCTGAATGGGAACCTAAACTGTTGTGTAAACCTTCACCAAAAACACAGCATTATTATTAAAAAAAAAAAAAAAGAAAAGACAACTACCACCAATTAAACTATACCCCCGTGCTTTCTTATTACATTAATTGAAGATGCATCCCAATTTAAGAGTTGTTAAAATGTGAAAATCTGTCTTATGAATGTTCATTAGATAAGTACAAATATAAATGATCTGCCTTTGAGAAACAGCAATGCTATACGTTATCTTTCCTTTTCCTTTATGGTTTAGCCCCACTGTTTCTTAGAATCTGTGGCTCCAATGTGCCAGAGCTCATAAGGGTTGGAATTAAAATTCAGTATAAGATTAACATATCTGGAGAAGTCTTCACATATCACTTTAGAAGCCTCATGAAACAATCCCAAAGTAGTTCAAAATATTATTCATACCTCCAATAGCATCAATTTCATCAAAGAATATAAGGCAGGCTTTTTTGGTTCTGGCCATTTCAAAGAGCTCACGAACCATTCGAGCACCCTAATAAGAAAAATGATTTCTTAGAGTTGCTGTTTAAATCTTTTTAAATACAATAAACAGTTATGCTTCAAACTTTTCAATATTCCTAACAGTATTCCGAACCATTATAACCTTAAGCTTTTTAAAAAATACTGAACTTTGCTGCTAACCCATCAGATTAATCTTATTGGCTTCAAAACAATATTAAGTAGTTTTCTACTAAATAGCACATAACTTTAAGACCTGAAGAGGTCAAATTAACACTGTAAAATAAAATAAAAGGCACCATTCTAATCAGTAAAACTTGAGGAAATAAAAGCACCTGGTTTATCACTTGGAACTCCTGACCACTGAATGTGATCAGGGAAAGAAGTATCAACTCACGTAGTTCCTTTCCTAATTCCTGCTTTAAGTATACTAATCATTAATAGGTTTCAGGTACAATATATACAGCCCTAGACTTACTCTCTAAACACAACAAATACATACATGTGTGTGTGTATACCCGCACACAGTTACATACAATCTATATTGTATCTTTCATGTCAGAACATAAAACACCGCCATGAAGTGAAAGTACACTCTTGAATTAATTTGCTGAACATTTCTGGGGTATTTGTCTCACAAACCAGATCTGTGGAAAATGTCATCCTTGAGTAGGGAGCATACTGATTAAAAATTCCAGGTGTCTGTCTATTTCCAGCATCTCTCTACTTCCAAATGACTACAAGGGAAGGCTGGTGGCTTCTGGGATTCTAAACCACCAACTACAATTAATCACTCAAGAAAATTCAGGGCTCAACCCCTCACTGTGGAATTGCCATTTTAATTTCTTCCATGCTTCACAAATCTTTCCTAGAGCTACGTATTTGTTGATTATGATAAATTTACTTTACCTCACCAACGTATTTCTGTACAAGTTCAGATCCAATAACGCGAATGAAGCAAGCATCAGTCCTATTAGCAACTGCCCGGGCACAGAGTGTCTTGCCTGTACCTGGTGGACCAAAAAGCAGCACACCCTTGGGAGGCTCAATGCCAAGGTTAACAAACCTCTCTGGCTGTGACGGAGACACAATTTTTACACTTGTTACTTCCGTGTATAATAAAAATAAGACTATTTCTACATCAATATATTTAAAACAAAACGTTTAGATCTACAACCTATATATATATAAAACAAAAACCCAAACCTGTTGCCGTCAAGTCAATTCCGATTCATAGTGACCCTACAGGACAGGGTAGAATTGTCCCACAGGGTTTCTAAGGAGTGGCTGGTGGATTCGAACCGCCAACCTTCTGGTTAGCAGCTGTAACTCTTAACCAGTGCACCACCTGGGCACCACAACTTATATATTTGATCTAAATAAGATACTTTAATTATTCTAAGACATAAGATCTAAACTAGAGTCACATCAATACATGATGCTTTTAAAGGTGTTTCTACTATTCAGTCTTAACATTTTTTTTTCCTAATTTAAAAAGATTACACTGTTTAAAGAGCAAAAGTATTATCTGGTATTTAATATCTTTGTTTTCCATTATCTTCTCAAGCTTAACTTGATTCAATTTAAACCCATTTCCTCTTGATGTCATTAGAACACATGGTTTCATCTAAAATAATCTGTAATATATTTAAAACATTGCTAAAGGGTTGCACCTCAACCTCCTTTGTCACTCTAAATAGCAAATCTTTTTTTTTTTTTTTTTTAATAAAATGCTTGACCACTCAATTCCTTTTTTTTAATCTCTTCTGGAATTTACCAGTTCTCTATAATTCCACTACTCTTTCCTCCACCTCCTCTAAAATTTTCATTAAAGGAAATATTAAATTTTAAAAACTATCTAATATATAGGCAATTTTAGTGCTGAATATACAAAACGCTGTAACATCTTTATGCAAAGAAATTCAAAATGCAACAGACTAAGTAAGCCACTTACATGAAGTAGTGGGGTTTCAACTACTTCTCGAAGTTTTTCAATCTGTTCCTTACAGCCACCAACATCACTGTATGTGACATCAGGTTTCTCCTCAACCTAAGAGAGGGATGAAAACACACAACATATGTTCACAGGCTTCTGACTACTAGTTCAAATGCTCTATGCGGTAGAAGAGACTCAATACCTTAAATGAAAAAAAAAAAAAAAAACAGACTTACAGCAAGTAAGAATTTTAATAAAAATGCAATAGATTGCCCAATGTCCTAGAACCACTTGATAAATTATTTGTTATGATACTAATAAGAGAGGAACAAACAAGTAAAATAAAGACTAAAAGACTTTCTTATATGAAAAAAGTTTTTAAATTTTTCAGCAACTCTGTTGTATGTAAACCCACCTATTAACAATTTATTAGTTAAAAGTCTCAAAACTTCCTGAGAGGGATACAATTATAAAGTCATGCCATTCCTTTTCCCTCCCATAGTTTCTTACCTGCATCATGGTAACTGTTGGGTCAATCTTAGGAGGCAGTGGAATGTGAATTTGATACTTATTTCTGTCCACACTAAGGAGGTGAAAAGAAGATAATTACTAACACATCCTTTAAGTTTTCAATATACTTTTATGTTTAGTCTTTTATCCTCAAAAGCATACTTTAAACAAGCAAGAGAGAGACAGAGTCTCTAAGGTTATACAAAAAACAAAAACAGCATTAAAATTCAGGACGCTAAACCACCAGTATGAAGTGGCAAACCACCTACACAGCAGCCAGGAAACCTTGACTTGAAGGGGTAAAAGGGATTAAAAAAAAAAAAATCTACTGAGTGAGTTAAGTACTCTATACACATTAACTCATGTAATCCTCATAACTATCCTAAGAGGTAGTTAGTGGATCCATTTTAAAGACATGAAAACTTACTCAGGCAGATCAAAAAGGTTAAATAACATGCCCAGAGGCAAACAGAACTAGAAAGGGAAAGAAAGGATTTTTAACTCAGCCTGATTCCAAGCAAGAGCTTCTTCCATTTACACCATGGACTGGTAAAATTAACTCTTAAATTCTGCACTTACTTTATGACACTTGAAGTCATTCATAAAAAGCAATAGTTGGGGGAGATGGGGAGACGGCAAGTTAGGAAGTAGATGCAGAAGAAAGGATGTCAACTGTAGTACACTACAAGGTTACCCTTTGTTATTCAGCTCATTCATTCATTCAAAACAAAGCCAAGGATGTGAAGGTGTTACAGTATCTTTAATGAAAGAAGAGTATTTACTGTAAATAGAAATCTTACCCAACTCTCATTCCTTCTTCAATGTCAGTAGGTGCCACCTGATCACTGAGGTCTACCACAAACTTTGCAAACTGCTTCACGTTGATAATGTACTTTGGGTCCTCTGAATCAGCATTAATTATCTTTGTACACCTAACACAACAAAAGGCTTGATTAGAATAAGGAACCCAAACCACTAATAATGAATTCAAGTAACTGGATTCTCTCTGAGGACTACAGAATACTAATTAGCTGGTGTAAACTAGAACCACAGAAACCAGGCCACCGTTTAAGATCCCTTTCTATACAATATGCTCGACCGCTAGGGTCTACTCAACTTTAGCCAATCCATAAAATTTTCAAAAGACACATTCTCCTGGAAAATTAAACCCAAAGATATCATCATTAAGAATTCTCCAATTTCTTGATTTTCATAATTATATTCCTTTATTTTTAATGAGACCCTTCTACATCTTAAGTTGCTCTGTTTATTTTCTCTGTAAGATGACAGTCATCTCGTTTCACATCATTAAAGTTAAAAAATAAATGTCTTCATTATTCCTTGACTTTATACTTCAAATCCAATCCTATTGCTGTTGCCGTTTTTAATGCAAATGTATTCATTTTCTGTGTGACTTGGCGAAGATGAATTTGTAATGCTGTATACATAACACAAAAGTTAACTCCCTTTCCTCTTCTGTAGTATGTCTACTAGAGAAAAACAAAAACAAAAAACTAAACTCATGTTAGAAAGCTGCTACATAAGCTGTAGCAACAAACAGAAATATAAATAACCTCTGGAGTGTGCCTACAGGTAGAGCTGAAATTAGGGTACAGTGAAGCTTAAGATCAACATGCCTCACTATTAAGTTTAGAGCTTTCTATCAGCGTTTTGGTCTCCTACTAAAACCAAAGCCCCAAAACAAAGATCACCAAACCTCTAGCATAAAAAATGGAGATGAAAGAAAGAGAAAACAAGAAGAAAAAACGCATTTTGGAAGAAACAGAAATCTTCAAATGTTAAGACAAGTGTATTAGAGAAAGAGTACAGGAGGTCCAATATCCAAATAATAGAAATCAGGAAGAGAGAACCAAGAAAATGAAAGGAAAGAAATTATTAATAGTTTCAAGGAAATCTGCCAAACTGAAGGACAAGAAAGGCAGCATGCTCAGCACAACAAATATAAAATAAATAGACCAACACCAAGGCCCATCATCAAGAAATTTCAGAACCAAGAGAACAAGAGAAAGCCCTACAACTTTAAGGGGGAAAAAAAAACAGGTCACATATGCAGTACTGGGAATCAGAATGGCTTCAGATTTACACTGGGAGGTAGAGGCAATGGAATGACGTCTTAAAAATTCTGATGGAAAAAGATTTTATACCCAGCCAAGATATTTTCAGACATAGGTGGTCTCAAAATGTCACCTCTCAATTCACCCCTTTCAGGAAGTTATCAGGGAATACATTCAATCTAAATGAGGGTGTAATTAAACCAAGAAAGAGAAAATCATGGTACACAAGCAACAGGAGAGAGGCAAAGGGAATCTCCAGGGTAAGGAAGTCACAAGATGATTGTTATTCAACAGGTATACAGGGTAACCAGTTCAGATTGAAGCAGGTCTGAAGGTTCTGGGAAAGACTCAGGAGAATGAAACTGAAGTATACCTGAGAGATTACCTGATGGATGTGAAGCATCTACAGAGCAATTTAGACAATCAGAGAAGATTTGGGGGTTGAGTTAGTAACATACAAAGAAAATCTAGTAAATGAGAAAACAAAACAATTACGGCAGGGAAAACAAAAAATAGTACAGGAAAGGAAAAGTAATCTGTTTACTACTTGGCTCTTTGTGAATAGGTGTACATAGCCATAATTATGCAAACACTGAAAACTGATCTAACCAAAATTACAATATACACATATTGGGAGGTTTTACCAACGGGAAGGTATGCCTTTGGGATGAAGACAGAGGGCAGAAAACAAAATCCTCATCTTCCATGGTGGGAAGCCAATGGGTAATGTGAAAAATAAAAAAAAAAAAAGTAACAGCAATATATAAGACATAGCAATATCCATTACAGAGACAAAGGTGGATACCAAAATGACCCACTAAAAAAAGGTGAGAATGCATGTCTCTAGGGAATAGGAAATGGGGATGATAGCTGTTGTTACAGAACATTTAACTCTTTAAAACCATGAAAAAACAAATGAATGAAAAGGAAAGAAAGGGAAGGAGGGAGCACAGAATGAAAAAAAACAAACCCTTCGCTGTATTAAAGAATTAAAAATTAAGGCAAAATTAAAGGATTAGAATAAAACACAGGAAAATATGTTTATAATCTTGGGCTAGGCTAGGCCTTTCTAAGCAACACTAAAACCCAAAATTTATAATGGAAAATGCTTCTATATTTTACCCCCTAAAAACATTAGTACAACAAAAGTTACCATAAAGTTAAAAGTCAGTGACAGACTGGGAGAAAATATTTGTAGCATATTTAAGAAAATATTAATATGTACAATATATGAAGTGCTCCTAAAAATTACAAGAAACAACCCAATAGAACAAAACATGAATGTCAAAGAAATACAGATGTATGGTTTAAAGAAGGAGCCCCGGTGATGCAACGGTTATGCACTCAGCTGCTAACCTAAAGGTTAGTGGTTCGAACCCACCAGCCACTCTGAGGGAGAAAGATGTGGCAGTCTACTTCCTTGAAGATTACAGCCTTAGAAACCCTATGGGGCAGTTCTACTGTCACATGGGGTCGCTATGAGTTGGAATCAACTCAACGGCAATGAGTTTGGTTTGGTTTTGGTTTTAATAAGTGTAAGGAATAACAATCATGCTAGTAATCAGCACAGTACAAATTAAAATAAGGTATTTTTGCCCAAATGGGAAAAGTTTAAAAAATGATAATCACATATATTACACTGATATTGATAAATGGGCATTTACCTCAAATTCTCTGAGTAAGAGTGTAAGCAGGTCAAATCAGTATTTTTCACAGATTTTCAAATCATAAATGCCTTTGACCACATAATTGCAGTTCTAGTAAGCTACCCTACAGAAATGTATGCACATACACAGAAAAATATTTAATATGAATGTTCAATATAGCACTGTGTATAACAACAGAAATTGCAAACAGCCTAAGGTCTATATACATACTATGGAATATTATGTAGTTGTTAAAAAAACAAAAAAAAAAGAGAGATAAATCTATATAAAAAACATGGAAAGATTTCTAAAACGTGTAGTTAGGATTAAAAAAAATTAAGATGTTTCTTTGCAAGCAAATATGTACATAAAGATATACAGAAGGAGTAGGAGGACCAAATTCTTATCAGTAGTCACATCTGAGAAAGGGGTACTGTGAGTGCAAGGATGGGAAGGGAGACTCATATTTTGCTCTGGATCTTTGTCATTTGACAGTTTTACACAATTAAGTTTTCATGTATTTCTTAAGTAATATTTTAAGGAATAAAACTTTAACCACAGAGACTTTGCAGAAAATTTTATTTACTTAGAATTTAGAATAAAAATTCTTTATGAATTATTGCATTATCCCTGAGACACTAAAAAGTGGTTGAAAGTACCAGTAAAAATAAACTTCCATAGAGCACTGTGCATACCTTGCAACCTGTAAAGGCTGTTCACTCTGGAGCGTTTGCTTATCTGCAGCCAAATCCCAGAGTGCTGGTGGGGCCAGGCCAGTGTCAGACTCCTTAATACCTACAAAGAGAAAGATTATAAAATTCACTGAAAGGTAATGCATCATCCTAAAGCAGGGTTTCTCAACTTTGGCACTACTGACATTTTGGATTGAATAATTCTTTTTTGTGGAGAAGTGTCCTGTGCATTGTAGGATGTTTAGCAGCATCTCTGGCCTCTAGCTACCAGATGTCAGTAGCATCCTCCCTACCTCTCCTCGCCCCCCTATTAAAGTCATGACAATTAAAAATGTCTCCAGACACTGCCAAATGTCGTTTGTGGCCAAAATCACCCCTAGCTGAGAACCTAAAGTAATCATCAAGCCAAAATTTAATGCTATAGTTAACTTTTTTTGTGCAAGTCAAATACTGTAAAACTTCACCATTCAAGTCCCCAAGAAGAAGTTTTCAACAATCAGGCAATAGCCCACTTACATTAAGAAATACTATGTAAGATCATATTTTTATTCAATAAAAAATTATGACTTGCTAATTGGAGTTGATTGGTTTTGACCAATAGAAATATTACTTGCTTAAAGGATGATGTCATCTAACCACATAAACATTAAACATGGTTGCAAAAGGCAGTGAAAAGAGATTGTTAATGTGATCAATTTTCTTACGAGGTAGAAAAAATAATACTTTTTTCATTAAAGAGGAAAACTGTATTTAAACTCTTTTGATACAATAAACATTACATTTAAGGAAAGGAAATGAGAATAAAAAAACCACATACCTGTGAGCTCATTAATTTTCTTGAGAAGTTGCTGGATATCATCTTCAACCTGCTTGATCTGCCTAGAGTAAGTGCTCTGACCCTAGGTGATAAAGATCAGTTTAATTAGAACATCAGGATGTTGACAACTTATTAAACCACAAGCAGAAACTTTTAACAGTTACAGCCTTAATAGCCAGTATTATCCGAAAGTTTGTGGAAGTAGAGAAAGGCAATATATCATTTTCAGTAGCATTACTGAACTGGTATTTTCTCCCTAAAGAACCCACCATTATGCAAGAGAATGAATGAAAATCTTGCTTGAAATTATCCAAAATTACAGGCCCATTTCTGTATACTGAAACTCTTCATTTCAGATCTAATTCAGTTGAATAACATTTACATATAGTGAATATCTGTGTAAATTATTTCAAATATCTTTTTAACAGAGTTGCTGTTGTATGCCATCAAGTTAATTCTGACTCATACTGCACTTCAACTACAAATAGCATAAAAATAATGCATAAGATTAGGCAGGGTGAATACTTCCTCTCTGATCTACTCTAGATAGAAACTTTTAAGTAGGTTACTTTTTTCAGTGATGATTACTATAAACTGCTAGACATTCTCTTCTAACTACTTTGGAGGGACAAGACCACACAGTAGTTTTTATTTCAAGATACATCATCTTCATTTTGTAGATACTGAAAGGACTTACATAAGTTTTCAGCAAGGCAATATCCCCCTCATCCAGTGCTAAAAGAAGAGAGACAATACGTGAGATTCAAACAAAAGAAACTAGAGCTAATCAGTCAACTCTCTTTTTTGTTCAATTCAAATTGTCCTGAGTGCCAAAACTGAGCAAAGTTGTGATGTACAAATATGACCACCAAACAGTTCCTGAATTCAAGGAACTTATTAATTGGGGGGAGGAGGAGTAATAGAAGTACTTAACGAACATGAGTACATATTTTATATACTTTATGTACTTCATATATAAACTACATCCATCAAGGATCTTCATTAAATAAATCACACCATACTCACATAACAAAATACAATACAGCCATTAAAAATAAAATAGAACAGTGCCTTTACACATGCAGAGATTCAAAAAATACTGTTAAGTAAAAGAGGTAGGCTTTTTTAAAACGCACACAAAATGTACATTTGTTTTTCTAAAAAAAATTATTTAAAACAAATGTGGGGAGAGTGGCCTGGGATGGTGTTCATCTAAATGTTAACAGTGATTATCTTCTGATGGAAGGACTTCAAGTGATTCTCACTTTCTTCTCAGTATTTGTCTGTCTATATTTTAAGGAAAACTTTTTCTTTTTCAACCTGAAAAGACAAACTATTTTCTCACGGCAGGGAAGACTTTTCTTTTTTTTAAATAAACATGAGTAGAGGTAGGAGAAAGCATGCTTAGGTAACAGTAGCTAGATCCATTTAGCTGAAATATAGCATATTATGTTCGGGAGTAATAATAAATTGGGGGTCCTTCGGTGGTGACCAGTGAACATGCTGGACTGCTAACCAAAAGATTAGAGATTCGAGTCTACCTAGAGGCACCTCAGAAAAAAAGCCCTGGCAATTTACTTCAGAAAAACCAGCTGTTGAAAACTCTATGGGGCACAGTTTTATTCTGACACACGTGGGGTTGCCATGAGTCAGAATCAACTCTACAGCAACTAGTTTTAATACGGAATTAGGTAGATGGTAGTTTGGGGTCCTAGTGAGGTGGGCCATTATTACCAGAACAAGGTAATAGAGACCACTGCAAGGTCTTGACATTATAGGACTTTGCCTTAGGAAGAACTAGCTCACTAAGATATAGAAAGCAGATTTGGAATGTTTGAGGCCAGTTAGAGGGCACAAGAGCCTCACCTAAGATGGTGGCAATGAAAAGAGAAAAGAAGGGGTGGATGAAAAGTCCTTGTAGAGGAAGAATCTACAGGGCATGGCCATTGACTAGATGTGAGGAGGAGCTGAGGGAAAGGAGACTCAAACATGGCTCCCAGGCTTTGTACCCGGGTACCTCAAAGGAAGAGAATACAATGACAGAAAGACAAGAAGCAATCAAAGAGGGAAAATCAACAGAAAGGTTCAATAACAGAAGCTAAGGGAGGCCAGAGTACTCAACAATGTCAAAAACATAAAGATTAGACGAGAAAAAGCTATCAGATGTGGCAATTAAGAAACACTGATCAATTTCAACAGACTTACAGGGACAGAAACCAAACTGCAAGGAGTTAAGAAATGAAATGAGTAGTAAAGAAATGAACATGCTAAGCATAATAATAACAACAGCTACTGCCATTTACTGAGAGGTTTATTATATAAAGCATTGTTATTAGAGATAGACATACATTCCATTATTTAATCCTTACAAGCCTGTAAAGTGAATACGATTGTTTCCGCATTACAGACAAGAAAAACCGAGTTTCACAGGTTTTAAGTGACTTGTCCAATGTCACCGAGGCAGTAAAGAAGGGGCAAAGCCAAGATTCAAGCCTAGGTCTGATTCCAAAGCCTGTCTTCACAGCCACTTTTAAGCAATGAAAAGAAGAAAAGAAAATGGGTTGTAGCTTGAGACGAGAGGAGAGCTGAAAGCTTTTCTCCACTGTGTGTTTTTCAGATACAATGCATACCAGCATACTTCCAGGAAAAAGGAAAAGAATCTCAGGAAAATAAACAGGAGAGCTGGTGACTGGTGAAACAAAGTCCTAGAGAAGGAAGGGACAGGGTCAGGAACACAGATGGGAAGGGTGGACTTGACAAAAATTAAACACTTCTTCTGAGGCAGGACTGAAATAAAAAATGGAAGATGACAGAAATTAAGAGAACTGAGTGTATTCTTAATATCCTCAGCCCAGGAGAAAGGGACTAAACTGAGGACTTGCAAAATGTGTAAATGGCTTGAAATAATCACTATGACAAAGTGGAGTCAACAGGAGATAATCAAAACGTTAACTAGCAATGAGGACCCAGTTAAGATCAGAAAGCTTAAATTGGAGGTAACTTAGTAAGTAAGGTTTTGTGACTTGTTTGAGCAATGCTTGGCAGCCTACGACAGAAAAAGACATGAAACAACGAAATTCCCAGAACAAGGGGACAGCAGAAAGTCAAACAGGCAAAGGTGGTAAGTACTAAAAGCACTGTCAAAATGGGAGAGTCTGAGTAGGGAAGCAAGAGATACCAACTTGGAGATGATACTGACTAATTAGATGGATCAAAAGACAGGTCAAGTTAAGGCTCAGTGGTAATGAAGACTAAAGAGCAAAAAGTCATGGTGGGAGGAGAAATGGAAAAGTCTGACACTTTACAAGTGAAGCAGCTTCATTTAATAAATAAGTCTACCAGTGATCACCTCCTTAGGTGACTGAGGTGCAGTGATAAGGGAAATCATGAGAATTGAGGTGATCAAGGATTACCAACATAGCTGCTAAAGACCCTCAGAATGATGTGACAAAACAAAAATAAGGAGTGCAAAGAACAAAGAATTTGAAACAACCTGAATGCTAGTCCTAGCAAGGTCATATATTTGCTAGGTAATTCTGAAAAAGTGATTTAATACCTCTGAGCATCAGTTTTCTCATCTGAAAAACAGACACAATTTTATCCTCACAGTGCAGTTATAAAAATCAAAAAAAATATGAAACTCATAAAATTGTATACAGATGTTAGTCATAACTGTATCCAAGAGATAAATTAACACATGTACACAACGATCACGTACCCAGAGAAACTGCAAATCTCCATGCAGATCAAAAGCTAAATCTCTGTGACCAAGTTTTCTCAGAGGTGACTTGAATATCTCTGACATTTTCAGTATCATACAATACTTCCAAGAGTAAGAGTAGAGGACGGGATGAAAGTCAAGAAAAAAACTCTATCTCTGAGAAGAGGGGGATGGAGAAAAAAGGGTGCTAGGAGAGGCTGAAAGCTGTTTAGAGAGGGAACAGTAAGAGGAGAGAGAGAGAAAAGAACAGAACGTTTAAAAGATAGTTCATAAGGAATAAAAGGAGAAAACAGCATTTATAAAGATGAGACCACAAAAGGGCTACTGGAAAGAAATCATGTCTGAAAACGGTGTGCACATCTCATGTACTTTGAGTAGGACTGTCAACTGGTATAGTCTCTATGGAGAGCCATTTGGCAATGTCTTGTCAAAATTACAACTCCACTTACAAAATGCATCCTACACTTACACTTGCATATGCGGTAAAAGTTTTATGATCAAAGTATTCATTGCTTTAGAAGAGCAATAGATTGAAAAAAATCTTAATGTCCATCAATAATGACTAATTAAACACACTATTGTACAGCCACATAATGGGATACTATCCAGATGCAGAGAAACACAGACAACACTCTTTATATAATGAAATGAAATGATCGCTAAGATATTGTAAGATTTAAAAATAGCAAGGTGTAAGTACAGCATGCTATACTTATGTAAAAAATAAATATTTGCTTGCTTGTATAGGCACAAAATATGTCTAGAAGGATACGCAAAATGGCAACTTTGGTTGCCTACACAGAAAAGTGGGTGTTTGGGGTCAAGGAGGAAAACTTTTTAATGAATCCTCTTCTGCCTTTTTGAATTTTGAACCATGTGAATGTGATATGTAGTCAAATGAATGTCTTTCGAAAAGAAAATCATGTCTCAGGATCCTCGCTACACAATGATAGCACCAAGATGTTACACTTGGGGAAGAGGGGAGGGAGAAAAGGGACCCACATGACCACAGACTGCTAGACAGAGGAACTTTTCAGGCCCGCAGGGCCAAGCCAGGTACGTGACTTCTTCCAGAGCTAAGAATGAATAAAATTTTCGACCAGGTGGCGATGAATATGTAACCTGTTCGTGAGATGAGGGTGACAGAGAGGGCAAGCGAGTTAACCGGGCTATCGCTCGGTGCTAAGTCACTATGAGCACAAAAGGGCCCGAGCGCCGCGCCGGGAGCAGGAATCCAGCCTCCCCCCCGGGGGCAAGCCTTGTCCCACCGCGGCCCCGATCTCCTGCCTCTCTCAACTGACCTCGGATAGGCTTGTCGTCCTTCTCATCCTCTTTGGTTTTACGCTGATCCGCACCGAGGTAATCCGGCATTTTAGGAGCTCCAAGTGTCTCAACTTCTCAATGATTACACAGCACCTTCCTCGCTTCCGGCGTTGCCTTTACTTTCCCTTCCCCACCGGAAGTGGAGCCGGTTACCGCGGGCCCCTTAAACTCAAGCGCACGAGGATTGGGCTCTGTAGGGAAATCGCCGGCGCTTCAGTCTCTGAAGTGTTCTGGTTGCAGTTATGGGGAGTAGTTACGGGGATTGCCCTTTAAAAGGGAACGTCTGTCTCCTGGTGGCCTCTCACCATCTTTAAGTTCCCCCCAGCTACCTGAGCAACAATGCCAAGACTGTCGCTGAGTTTAAATCCGATTAGTCATCCATTTACTGTGCAGCCTTGGGTAATTTCTTTAATCTCTAAATTGTAATATACAGTTTACCTTTACCCTTTACGTTACAAGATTGTGGAGGCATTAAATAAATAAAACAAATAAATAAAAATACCTGGCATACTGAATACGCAAAAAGTACTAGCTAGATCTACAAAAAGAGTGAAAGCAAATAGTTATTCATTAATTTGATGTTCACATGGGATGTAGAGGTAAATGGTTTCAAAATTTGAGCCTGCTGCTAAAGAAGGGGGCTGCCATCCGCAGATACAAGGGAGTCAAAAAAAAAAAAAAAGATCTTTTTAAAGGAAAATGAGTTCAGAAGAAGTCGAAGGCGAGAATAAAAGGGAGGAAGTGTGAGAAAAAAATTATTAATATTGACAAAGTGGAGTCAGATTACTTTGCTCCTTAGAGCCTGTTTTAACAATGGTGGCATTAACAGAGAAAGGAGTCAAAAAGAGGTTTGGGGGCATACGATTCGTTCAGTTTTTGAAATGCCAATTTCAAAATACAATTTTGTCATGCAACAGATATACAGACCAATTCAGTGTGTTAACTCGTTGCCGTCGAGTCGATGTCGACTCATAGCAACCCTATAGGACAGAGTAGAACCGCCCCATAGGATTTCCAATGAGCGGCTGGTAGATTCGAACTTTCGACCTTCTGTTTAACAGAAGGCTCTTAACCACTGCGCCACCAGGGCTCCATTCAATGTATTAAACAGCTAAAATGTAATCCCTAGAGAATACTTTGCTAAATTCTGGTGCTCTCTGCCAAAGAGTGGCACATCAAGTCTTCTATTTCACCCAATCAATTGCAGTTACTGCTATTGGAGGCGAGTCTTCACCCACTGGCCTCCTGTTGGCTGGTTCTTGGTTTTGGTTTTGGCTTCAGTCCTAGAAGGAAGCAGATAGTAAAAGTACAAATGACTTTACTACATATTAAACAGTGAAGTCCCAGAGTCCTGTAATGGGGAGTATCTTGAAAGAAAAGTCAATTCCGTTACAACAGTGTAAAACTTTGGCTGGCCCTGGAATAGAATCTACAACTGGACAGGGGTTTCTTCTACAAACGTTATGAGGATTAAATGAGATAATAAAGGTAACCTACTTAGTAATAGCACAACAAACATAATAATAGCTACTACTATTATTTAGGTAACACAAGTGCATCACAGGAGTATATATAATATATACACTTAATATAAGTATAAATATAAACTTATATATAATTTTCTATGGATGTAATACTAGTCATTGTCAACTCTAGTTAGTACACACGTCTTTTCTTGCTTAAATTATACAAGCAGAGCTACTGGAAAAATCGGTGGTTAGATTGAGACTCATATATAAAGTAGCAGAAATTTAAATATAATATAGAAGGCTCTGCTTTAGAAAGTTATTTTCTACGTATTGCATTTGAACGAGGAAAATAATCATTTTTTAGACGGGAATTGATGAGTCTAGGAACTGTTGTTTTGCTAGCCTTGGTCTCCAGCCGGATCTGAGTCAGTAAAGGAACGAGGCAGTCGCACAAGCTGACGAGGGGGACGGGATTTTCAACTGCATCACGTAGGCTCCATCCCGGAAGTGGTTATTGACTGTCTCCATGCGCCGGTTCCTGCGCGTTGTAGAGCCAAGGCGCGAGGCTTGGACGGGACGGTAGAGCCGGAGGGAACGCTAAGCATCCTCCGCCCGGACCGTGATCCGCTGCGCCAGCGGGGCTGGCCCCGGCGCCATCATGCTACTCCTGCCGAGCGCCGCGGACGGCCAGGGCACCGCCATCACCCACGCTCTAATCTCTGGTACGTGCCCACCCACCACGACTCCGTCCCGCAGCAGCCGGCCCTACTTCAGTCCCCTTTCTGGCGATCCCGGGATCTCTCTGCCCTTGACCCTGGCGACGCGCTCCTGTATATGTAGGGCACGACGAGTATTCTTCTGCTCCCTGTTATACAGCAATCCTTCCCCAGATTGGAAGGAGGGAGAGTGGGGGGCGTCTTCTGTCCCTCCGGTTTCTTCCCGGTCTCGCGTCTGCTGACTCACGAATCGGGCTGAGTAGTTCGGGACGGAAACCCCAGGATCTCGAAAAAGGTTCCCTTAAGTATCTCCTTCTCTACGGCGAAGAGGTTGTCCCGCAGCGAGCACCACACGTGCCTGGGGTCGTGCAGAGCTTTGCCGCTAGCGCTCTTAAACACCTTTTTCTCTCTTTACCTTTGCTCTGGCTTTGTTTTTTAAATATCAGAACTCAGACACCGCTTCTCATACTCAATGTTAAAACATCTTTGCCAGTGCTGCTGGTAAGATCTTCGTAGACAGACTTTTAAAGGCGGTCACTACAAGTGAAATTGTCTTGCTGCTGTAGAATCCTTACATTTATAGCCAAGGGCATTCGTGGGTGTTGTAAACTTAGCCTACAGTTTCAGCGATCTGTATTAATTCCCTTAGCCACTTTTAGAGACGCTTGTTGAATGTGATTCTGAACGTATTTTGTGGCACATGTTGCTTTTGTGCTTGTGGAAGTCTGCGTATAATCTTTCAACTAGAGGAAAAGGCTTGAATGGCAATGTTCTTAAAATCCACTCCCACACTAGACAGGTAATACTTCATGGACATAGTGTTTGAATTCTGTCCTGTATAGGGTGGAGAAATCTTAATTTCCCAAACCAGTTAAAACATGAAAATCCAGTTGTTTTTAGAAAATTGTGAACATCAGGTAGGAAGGAAAACTTTACACCTGAGTTATTCGTTCCGAACCCGTTTGTCGAGTTGATTATGACTCATAGCAACCCTATAGGATGGTAGAATCTGCCCCATAGGGTTTCCAAGGAGTGGCTGGTGGATTCGAACTGATGACCTTTTGGTTAGCAGCTTAGCTCTTAACAGGGCTCCAAGAGTTATCCATTACTGGAAGAAAAATCCTTGCTTTTTTGTGAAATATGAAATTAAAATTAAAACATTCTCTTTTTTTGACTCAGATTACCTTTTTTGAATTGGTAATATATGGATGTATGGTGATTTAAACCCACTTCCCAGGAATAAGAGCCCTGCTGGCACAATGGTTAAAGTGCTCGGCTGCTAACCAAAATGTTAATGGTTTGAACTCACCAGCCACTCTGTGGGAGAAAGGTGTGGCAGTCTGCTTCTGTAAAGATTTGCAGCCTGGGAGCCAATGTCATAAAACAATATATGTATTAGTTGTTTAATGAGAAACCTGTTTGCTCTATAAACCGTCTAAAGTACAATAAAAAAAAAAAATGTTTTTAAAGAAGATTTATACTCTTGGAAACCCTATGGGGCAGGTCTGCTCTGTCCTATAGGGTTGCTATGAGTCAGAGTCAACTTGACAGCAGTGGATTTGGTTTGGTTTTGGTTTCCTAGGAATATTAATAATGCCTCACTCTTATACAACAGCTTGTGATTTTCGAAGTGCTTTCACTGTTTCCAATTCAGTCTTCCTAGGAAGCGTGTGAGATCGGTATTTATTATTCCCATTTTACAGTTGAAGTCATCTCTGACTAGTTGTCAGAGCTGGACTAAAACCCAGAGCTTCTGGTTTCACACCCGAAGTGTGTTCCACTAAATCCCCATTAGCGGTTTGGGAAAATATCTTTCAGAATAGATCATTGCCAGTGAATTCTTTAAAATTTTAAGAGCTGTCTAAATTCCAGGTTTTAATAATTATCTAAGATGTTTTGAGTTATTTTTAGGAAGTTTTTTTGTTTTTGAAGAGACTAACTCTTGGTGACAATTTATAAGTATTTATTGCTTTACTGCAATTATTGGTTTAAAAGTAAACCAGTTTGCAGTATTTCTCCCTGTTCATCACCTTCCTATCATATCCCCAGAAAAGTACTGATTTATTGCTGACATGGTTGAGTGTTTTACTGTGTCAGATAAATGGAAAATAATTAAATACTATGTAAATACTAGGAAATGATTATTTATTGATAAACCTTATGTTAACTGGATTATTGCAATTATTTTCTTAATTATTTTCAAAATGTATTCTGATAGTTTCGTGGTTTTGATCTTATTTCCTGAGAAAACTTATTGCCTTGAAGCAGGTTTATTCCATGCATTACATTGAAGCCTCTCTTAACACTTTCAATCACAGCCTCTACACTCTGTCAAGTTGAACCTGTGGGAAGATGGTTTGAAGCTTTTGTTAAGAGGAGAAACAGAAATGCTTCTGCCTCTTTTCAGGAACTGGAGGATAAGAAAGAGTTATCAGAGGAATCAGAAGATGAAGAATTGCAGTTGGAAGAGTTTCCCATGCTGAAAACACTTGATCCCAAAGACTGGAAGGTATTTAATGTCTGAATTTTTTGTTCAATCAGATGCTTTGTTAGACATAGGCAGTTTTCCCACAAGTTTTCCATTAATAAACTGTGTTTTAAGATGATTCAGTAGTGAACACCTGTTTATTGCAAGCCCTGAGTAGAGAAATTTAGGAAGATTTTACAGAAAAGATAATGTTTGAGCTGGTCTTAAAAGGATGAATGGCAGTTTATGAGGCAGAGAAGGTTGAAAGGGCATCTGGGCAGAAGGAATAGATATGCAAAGACGCAAAGGAGTAAAAGAATGTGTGCTGCTGCCTCTTTGGGGATTAATGAAGAGTAGAGCGGGGTGTGTGAGGGACGGTGGTGAGAAATTAGGCCTGAAAAGAACTCTAGACCAAACTCTGTAGTGTCCTTTTTTGCCATACTAAGGAAGGAATTCAGACTTTTATCTCCGGGGCAGTAGGAAGTCATCAAAAGTTTCTAACCTATTTTTAGAAAAATAATTCTCTTGGCAGTATGGAAAATTGTTTGAAAGGAGGGAGGGACGGGAGGCAAGAGAATAGTTCACGCTGTATGGCCCTGCAGTAATACAAGTGGTTAATGTAGGACTTGAACTAAATGTATGGCCAGATTTTGAGAAAGAGAGGACAGATGCTTTTTTTTTTGGGGGGGCGGGGGTGATGGTAGTGTCTTACTGACCTTGGCTATGTAGTACAAGACATGGGAGATATTCAGAAGGCCTTTAACCATTCTGGCTTGAGTGACCTGCTGGATCGTAATGTCAGTAACTAACACCAGGATGCAAGAAAAGGAAGTTTGTGGAAAGTGTTGTTTTTGTTCAACTTTAGCTATGTTAAAATTGAAGTGTTTGTGACATACTGATGAGGTTGTCTAGCAGATGGTTAGAAATGGGTCTGTAACTCTGAAAAGAGATTACAGCCAAAGAGATTTGGAAGTCATTGGCTCAGAGGTGGTAGTTGAGGCTCTGAGGAATTGAATGACATCAGCTGGGGAGAAAAATATAGACAAATAGACATTAATAGGTACTAATATAATATTTAAGGGGCCCTGGTGGCACAGTGGTTAAGCGCTCGGCTGCTAACCAAAAGGTCATTGGTTTGAACCCACCAGCCACTCCGAGGGAGAAAGATGTGGCAGTCTGCTTCTATAAAGATTACAGCCTTGGAAACCCTATAGCGCAGTTCTTCTTTGACCTGTAGGTTCACTATGAGTCGGAATTAACTCCACAGCAGCAGGTTAATACGATACTTCAGTTTGTATGCCGTGGAGTTAGATGCTTGAATTCAAATGTGGTTCTGCCATTTAGCGCACTGGGACCTTGGGAAAGTTACTCAATTTCTCTGTACCTCATTCCCCTTTTTGGTAAAATGAGATTGCTGACGTTGTTATCTCAAAGGAATATAGTGAGGATTGATGAAATGATGCACTTAGTCTAGTGCTGGGAATATGATAAATGCTAAACAAATAGTGGATAATAGAAGTTCTAATCTCATAGGTTGTTGCGAGGATTAAACGAGGTAAGGCATATACGTAAAAGAAAAGTAAAGAAACTCAGGAAGTTTTAGCCAATTCTACTACTACTATCATCATGATCAGTTTTGAAACAAAAGGACTGACAATTAAGGAGCATGGATGTTTAAGGGGTGGACAGAGGAGGAGAAATAGTAAAGAATACCAAGGAAAGAAGTATGAAAGAAGTAGGGAGAAAATGAAGAAAAAGACCTTTGTTAATTTAACAAGTCAGGCACTGTAGTTTTCCAGAAACTAAGGGAGAAAGAAATCTTGAGGAGAAAACAGTCACCGCTGTCACTGCTTCCGAGGCAAGTTAGTCATATAAGATGAAGAATGATATGCTGGATTTGGCAATCAAGTTTAGGTGACCTCACTGAAAGCAGTTCCAGTAATATAGTTGGGATGGCAAGAGATTGCAGCAGGCCAAGGAGTGATCATGAGGGATGGAGTAGAGACCTAAATGTAAAATACTCTCAAAGCTGAGTTGTAAAGAAAATGAGAGAGAACAGTAACCTGAGGGGAAAGCAGGGTCAAGAGAAGATAGAACGGGGGAATGTTGAGCATGCTTGTAGATTGAAAGAATGGGAGCTACAAGAGAAGAAGTGGAGTAAGGTCTTTGGAATAGAAAGGAGAAGATGACATCAGAGCAAGGTGACAGTGTTCATTCATTCAGCTAATTGTTTCACTCAACGAATATAGATTGAGCACCTGCTATATGTCATATGGTGTTCTAAGTGCTGAGGATACTGTGTTCAACAACAGTATCATTGCTTCCACATAACTTATATTCCAGTGAGGAAACAGACAATAAACACACAAACAAGAATATGGCCAATAAATGCTGAGCAAAGAATTAGAAGAGGGTGATGTGATAGAGTGTCCAGGTGACTAGATTGAGTAGACAGGGAAGGCCTGTGGAGTTGACATGTAAAATAATACCTGAGTGACCTGCAAAGAGTAGGGAGAATAGCCTTCCGGGCAGAGCTTGTGTAGAGGCCATAGAGCAGAAAGAAGCTAGGGATGTGCCAGGAACCGAAAGAAGGCAAGTGTGGCTGGAGCAGAGGGCAGGAGGGGCAAGGAGATAAGGAGTAGTAGTCAGTGGAAAGCCATTGCAGAGTTTTAAGCTCTGACGATTTTCAAGTGCTTTGAAGGGAACAAAAAAAGCAGCTGAGATCGGGGAGAAGGGTGTCTATTTTAAATAAGGTGATGACATTTAAACTGAGATGACGTTTAACTAAAAGATAATATGGGAGCCTCGTGAAGAGTGGGAGAAGAATATAACAGGCAGGGAGAATCGCACGGGAGTCCCTGAGGTGGGAAAGAACTTGGCACGCTCAATGAAAAAACTATTGTATTTGGGAATGGGTAACCAAGGGAGAAAGTGACAGGCCATGAGGTTAGAGAGATGGAGGTGCTTATGTATGTGCATCTGCACTAGAGTTAATTTAGGAGTCATCAGCATACACAGAGTACTGTATTGTGGCCCTGGGATTGGATGAGGTCACCTAGGACAAAAGTAGAGAGAGAAAAAAAAACTCCAGGACTGAACTTTACAGGTCATCAAGAAGCCAGTGGAGGTGACTGAAAAGAGCTACTGGAAGGTGGGAGGAAAACCAGGAGAGAGTAGATTTACAGAGACTCTAAAGGAAGATAATGTTTCAAGGAAGGAGTCAGCTGTGCTGTCACTTGGAGTTGAAGTCAAGTGATGGCAAATAAGTGATCTTGGATTTGGCACTTGAAATTTGATATTGAAGAGAGCAGTTTCACAGCACCTGAGGTGGGGGTGGGCAGAGCAGAACCAGATTGGGGTAGGTTGAAAATGAATGGGAGAGGTGTTAAAAAATTTGTGTGGATAGCTTCTTCAAGACGTTTAACTCTGACAAGGAGCAGAGAAATGGGGCAGTAATTAGACAAGAATCATGGAAGGGTATTTAAAGATGAGAGATAACTGCACATATTTTTATATTGATAAGAATAGTTAGGTTGAAATTTAGGTGATAACTGAAAGATGCTGTTCTTTCAGAAGCCTAGAAAGGATGGAATTCAGAACCAAGAAGGATGGAGTAATTTGTTTTGACAGAAAGGACACTTTCTCAATTGTGAATGGAGGGAAAGGGAAAAGATGTAGGGTGGTAGAAAGATGCTGGAATTTGAGAAAGATAATTTTAATGTTTTTAGTTAAGTACAGGGCAAAGCCATCTATCAGAGAGGGTGGAGAAGGGTTCGTGAAGTTTGAGGAAAGACTAGAGGAGAGAAGGTATGAAATAGTCATCTTGGATAGTGTAAAAGTGAACTGACCAGATCAAAGCATGGTTGCCAGGCAGAATAAAGGGCCTCATTCATATGAAGTTTGTAATCCTGACTTTCAAGTGAAACCAGTCAGTCCTATTGTGATTTTTCTCCCCCATGTCTTATGCCCTCGATTCCTTTTCCTACTTGATGGCTCCCACTTGATGGCTGACATCATTCTCCAAGACTAGATATAAATGCATCCTTTGAGTTCTCTAAGGAGTCTTCACTCCAGTGGCTACCTCAGCTTCTAAATTCAGTAGGATATAACCAAAGTAGGAATGCATGCAGATACTTCCTGTCCAGAGAAGCTTCATCCCTCAGTTTCTCAAAATTTCCACCCAATCTACCTTACTTACTGTATGTGTCTGCTAGTACTATCCTGTCATTGTCCGCTGGTCCAGCGTACTGGGACTTCTGTAATGCTCCCCTCAGTTGTGAAATCTTCCTGGCTATTATTTAAGGGTGGCCATAGAATATTAATAGGTGTTAAGAAAAAAAAAAAGTTAGTTTGGAAGATGCTGGGTTTTACAGATTTCTGTTTGCCTTTTTTTTTTTAATTGCAGGACTTTTCAGAGCCTTTATAAAGCTTACAGTATATGCATGCAATCATCAAGAGGGCTATACCGATAGTCAACATTTCCCAAATTTATGTGACCACAGAACCCATTTTATACAAACCCTCTTAATGGACTCCTGTTATGGGAGCTTTACTTTTTGAAACATTGTTTTAGGATACAAAAACAAAAGGGACAGGATATATTGTTTATTTCAAACTTGACTTCTCTTTGTGTCTTTATCAGAACCAGGATCATTATGCAGTTCTTGGACTTGGCCATGTAAGATACAAAGCTACACAGAGACAGATCAAAGCAGCTCGTAAGTACTTTGTTATTTTGAAATAATCAAATATCTGGCATAGGAAATGCTATTCTTTTTGAATGATATGTAAGATCATAGTTTATATCCATAACTTGAGATGTAGTAGCAAGTGTTACATTGTCGTAACAGTGTATAACCACAGTCTTCACCTTCAGAGCCAGAAAAAAGGCTTGTCAGTCTCATGTGTGGACTTTGCCATTAAGGATAAGAAATCAGGGTGTGTGTGTGTTTGTAACAGGATAAAGAACATTTTCCCGATGGCACGCTTTTAAAAAATAACATTCCAGCTCTCTTTAGAAGTATAAACAGCTGTACTCAGTGGAAGCTGCCTTATTACTTAGGTTGTTCGATGTTACTTTGTGTTTTCAGGTCACATCTTGTGGATACCACCTTCCCTCTTCTACCCAAGAAAGAGTTATCTGATGCTTCATTGTCATTTTCATTGACAAAGTTAAAATGGACATAATTTCTTTCACACACATTCAGTTCACCTGATTAGCAAACTTTGATGAAAGAGGTGAAGGTGATTAGTTTTCTGTGTTTTACCTTAGGAGCATGTTCTGCCCTCCACTCTAGAGAATGGAGATTGAGGTCTGAGGAGGAGATAAGATTGTGGGCATATAGAAGTGGAATAGGGAGTCAGGACCAGTCAGGAAGAGAAAGTGTTGTACTTGGAGGAAAAAGATGGCTGAATGAGAACTCTCCTATGTTAAGAAAGACTCATGTAGACTACAGTAGATGAACTCAACATTTTTCCCTTAATGTTTACATTTAGGAAAATCAGGTGTTTTTTAATAAAGTGAAGGAATTTAGCAGATTATTTTAGGTCTATGATTGGGTTTCTTAAAAGATTGACATGATTGTAGACTAAACATATGTTAATGCATATGGATAGTATTACAACGTATATGAATACCAGGAACATTCATTTGCCATGGAAAAGTATTTGCAAAATCGTGTTATATGGAATAATAGCACACAAATACCAAATATGTCTTGATACATATAAATTTGTGAAAGAATCAGAAATGACTTAGACCTATGAAAATAGTGTTTTAACCATGGTCTCGGGGAGCATCTAGCTCAACTGGCATAACACAGTTTATAAAGACAGTGTTCTACATTCTACCTTGGTGAGTAGCATCTGGGGTCTTAAAAGCCTGTGAGCAGCCATCTGAGATACTCCACTGGTCTCATCCCTTAGGGAGCAAGGGAGAATGAAAAGAACAGGATACAAGGAAAAGATTAGTCCGAAGGACTAATGGACCACAGCTACCAAGGCCTCCATCAGACTGAGTCCAGTATAGCTAGATGGTGCCCGGCTACCACCACTGACTGCTCTGACCAGGATCACAACAGAGGGTTCTGGACAGAGCTGGAGAAGGATGTAGAACAAAATTCTAACTCACAAAAAAAAGACCAGATTTACTGGCCTAAAGAGACTGGAGAAACCCCGAGAGTATGGCCCCCAGACACCCTTTTAGCTCAGTGGTGAAGTCATTTCCGAGGTTCACCATTCAGCCGAGGAGTGGACAGCCCCATAAAACCAAATGGGACTAATGAGGCACAGCAGTCCAGGGACAAGGACTAGAAGGCAGAAGGGGACAGGGAAGCTGGTGATAGGGAACCCAAGGTTGAGTAAGGATAGTGTTGATGTGTTGTGAGGTTGTTAACCATTGTCATAGGGCAACATGTGTACTGACTATTAAATGAGAAACTATTTTGTTCTGTAAGCCATCATCTAATGTGAGAATAACAGCACAATTGGAAGAGCATAGTCAATGTCACTGAACTGTGCTTGTAGAAATTTTTGAAATGGTGTATCTTTAGCTATGTATATTTTCACCAAAAAAAAAAAAAAAGGTCGAGAAGGGAGAGGGTTAACATGTTGTGGGGTTGTTAACCAAAGTCATAAAACAATATGTGTACTATTGTTTCATGAGAAACTATTTGTTCTGTAAGCCTTCACCTGAAGTACAATAAAAAAAGAAAATAGTGTTTTAAGGTGAAGAAATACAGTTTCTTTCTATTAAGATGAAAAAGTGTACAATAAATTAGAAGAAACATCCATTTGCTTTGTTAAATCCATTCTTGTTATTGGCGTAATAAAATCAAGTTTTGAATATTCTATAGCCAAAAGTTTTGCAATACTAGTGCAGAGATTATCAGCATTAAGGGAAATTTTAACTCATTCTGTGCTGCTTTTGTTGAATATTCTATCAGTATTTATTCAGATGGAAACTTGTTCTCTTATCTTTGTCACTATATAAAGTAGACAATTGCTGTTTAACTGCTTTCTGAAGGTCTGGTCCCAATCTAAAAACATGAAGTTAGTGTATATCAAAAAAACTCATTGCTTTTGAGTCGATTCCAACTCATAGGGACCCTATAGGACAGAGTAGAACCGCTCCATAGAGTTTCCAAGGAGTGGCTGGTAGATTTGAACTGGTAACCTTTTGGACAGTAGCCAAATGCTTAACCACTATGCTACCATAATTATTAGCACAGACAAAACCTAATAAAAAAAAATGTCTGATAGTATTTGAGATTCTTCTAGTTGTTGTATCCAGTTACAAACACAAAGTTTAGTTTTGTTTGATTTATTTTGAATACCTATAATGAAAATTAGAAGGTCAGTTAAGGTTGAATAAAGTAATTTTTTTTTTTCCTTATCTGCATTACCTGAAAAGAATAAATTATTAGAAAAGTTGAATGATGGATTAAGATAAAGTACTTGAGTTCTAGAGGTGGTATCTAAATTGCTAATATAATTTTGTTCTTGAAATAAAAGTTGACACACTTGCAAATGATACATGTAGATTTGATAATCTTTGCATGGAAATAGTCTTTGGTGATTTGAATTTTATGTATTATAATTTTAGCTTAAATATAACTGATTTTAAACTGAAAACTTTCATACCAAGCTTTTTAAAAATTAAAAATCATATTTCGAGCCTTTTTATAACAGTAGCAATGCAAATGTAAAATAAAAGCTCCTTTGCTAAAGTTACCTCAAAACACCCCAGTAACACTCTTTATTTGGAGGCAGAGGGAAGAAAAATCTGAAATTTCAATAAACATATAACAGCTGATCCCAAGCTGTTTCTTTTTCATACTGACAGTGTTCTTCGAACCCTTTACCTTATTTTTAAAGTTGGGTAACATGCCCACCAGGGTCAAATATAGGACAATCTCAGAATCTTTTAATATACATAGATGATTAGAAATGAAAAATCAACATGGAAAAAAATAGTGCAGCATAAGAGGAAACTATCCAACAAAACATTGAACCTCCAAACCTGATCATCTGGGTCTCACGGAGATTCTCTGAGCTACCTAATCACTTTTAATAAATTCCTTTCCTGCATAAACCAGCAGAAAATGACTCTTCTTAAGTGTTAGTGGAGAAACTGATCAACCTTATCTATAAGAAAAATCTCTAATCTGAAAAAACAAAAATGTATTTGTCACAGTTCCTTGTCCTGTGCAGTATAATTGGAAATAACTCAGCTTAACGTGTCCATAAAAGGATTTGTAGAAGAATGTTCATAGCACCTTATTCAAAAACTGGAAACCACCCGAATGTCCAGCAACAGAATAAATAAGCACATTGCTGCATATTGGCACAATGGAATACTACTCAGCAATAAAAAAATGGAACAAGTTACCTATACACAAGAATGTGAATGAATCTGAAAACATTATGTTGAGCAGAAGAAGCCAGACACAGAGATAATATTGTATGCTTCTATTTACAAGAAGTTGAAGAACCTATGACAACAGAAATTAGAAGGAGGTTGTCCCAGGTGGTGGGGGGTGAGTTGACAAGGAAACTCTATGGGTGATGAAAGTGGTGTGTATTTTCTTTTGGTTGGTAGTTACATGAGTGTATACAATTGTCAGAGTTCATTGAACTGAATACTTAAAATCTGAGGGTTTTAGTCTATGTAAATTGTATCTCAATTTAATAAAATAGATACATTTACACCAAACAAATGAATCACTTGGGAAATTAACTATACTCTTTTGGACCTAGAAATGAAAAAAATTGTATCAGTAGATTTTTTTGTGTGTGAAAATAAGATCACTGCTTGTTAAGACTTAAGAGATGGCAGCCAGAGCTGTGCCTTCAGTAAATTCATTGCCTTAAACTATTATATTACTTTTTTCCTAAATTTTACTTATTGTTGTTGAGAATATACACAAATTCGACAGTTTCTACATGTACAACTTAGTGACATTGATTACAGTCTTGTAGTTGTACAACCATTCTCACCTTCCTCTCCTGACTTGTTCCTCCCTCATTAATGCTCAAATAAACTAACTCTAGGATGAGATTCTCTTAAAGAATCACCTGAGGATCTTGTTAACATGTTAAAAAGAGGGAAAAAATAAAGTAGGCATTCAATTCAAACTTTTAAAAGTATAGTACTAAAGAAAGTGGAGAAAAAAATAGAAGAGATAAAACAGTATCCCAAAATTGGTTTTATAAAAAGAAAAAGCAAATAGTGAAGTAAACAAAGGAAGAAGATGAAAACCATTATAGAAGATATTTTTGAGATCACTTTACATGCAAATGAATTTGGAAATCGATCTTTTTTAAAATACAAAGAGGTATCAAAGAATTACTTCCTAGAATACTCTTTTTAGGCCCAGATAATTTTGCACATGAATTCTTTCAAGGAATTGAAAATTCTCATGCTGAACATAAACTATTTGGAACAATTAATTTTGTGAAGTTAATGTAATCTCTGTATGAAAACCTGGCAAAGCTAAAAAAACTAGAAATCTCATTCATGAATACAAAAATCCCAATTAAAGGAATTACAAATTGAATTCAGCAGTAGATTAAAAGAATAATTCCCATGAACAAGTAGGTTTTCTCTTAATCTGTTTATAGCTTAGATAATATTGTTAAATCTATGTGATTTCCTAAGTAGATGGTGAAAGTACATAAAATAGAATTTAGCACCCATTCCTTTTTAATAAACAGGGCTTTGAAAAGAAATATA